TTTTTTTAGTCAAACTTTCAGTGATCACTTTCTTGCATAACCTTATACCCACTCTATAATTTTGTTTTGCAAGTTTTGCTGAGTGAAATAATGGGACTTTGAAGCTTATCATTTGCTCTTATCATCATAAGACAGGTTAGTACCATCTTCTCTTACATGAGTTTGATTGTTTACCATGTTTTTTTGATTATAATACATTACTGTGAATGTCTTGTTGTGTATGCTACTATATATGAGGACAGGTTAGTACCGTATTTCTTGTTTCTAGCATATGAGTTTGATTGATTACAGTGTTTCTTGTTTTCAGTTTTATTTGTTTTAAATATGCTACTAAAGTTGAGTTACTGCACTTATCTTGTCTGATATTAAATTATTGAGATTTAAAACACTTAATCTAGTACATTACTGTTGATGTCTTGTTGGTTATGTTACTATATATGAGGACAGGTTAGTACCATGTTTCTAGTTTCTTTTATATGGTTTTTGATTGATAACCATGCTTTTTGTTTTAAGTTTAATTTGTCTTAAATATGCTACTATAACTGAGTTAGTGTACTTATATAATCTGATATTGAACTATTGAGATTGCTTTGATTGAATATTATATATGTATGAGTTATTTGTTTACTGGTCTGAATATATTTTGAGTTAATTGCTTATGGTATTAAAGGTTTATATTACGGTATCAACATATAATGTTGGACAAGGATTGGGTGCATCTTGGCAGGTAAGGACTTTAATTATATAGGTTAGGTTTCAGTAGGGGTTTCAGAGACTTTACTTCTTCTTTTTTTCCCCTTTTATTCTGCAATGAAGAGCTGATCCTGCTTATGAGAGAGGGGCTACAAAGTTTGTACGGGCTGTGGCTGCAGCTTTGGGAGACGTCGATATGATTATATGTCCTTGCATTGATTGTCGTAATATAGATCGTCACCTAGGTAGTGTAGTTGTTGATCATCTTGTAACAAGGGGAATGGATGAAGCTTATAAGATGCGGTGTGACTGGTATCATCATGGAGAATTGAATGCAGTGGCTGAAAGTGAAAGCAAACTAAGTCACTGGAATGACGAGGTATTTGAGTTATATCAAGCTGCTGAGTATTTGGATGAAGAGTTTGCAGAAGAGCTTGACTTGGCTGAGATTGCAGAGGGTGATGACAAGAAAGAAGATGAGTTTCTTGCAAAGCTTGTAGATGCTGAAACTCCTTTATATCCAAGTTGTGTGAACCATAGCAAGCTGTCAGCTATTGTGTCT